GATCTTTCATCCACTGGTTCACTCCCCAAATGGCTGCAATGGCCAGAACTGGACTGGGCCAAAGCCAAGAGCCAAGAGCTTCTTCTGGGTCTCCCACATGGGTGCAGGGGCCCAGGCACTTGGGCCATCTTCCATTGCTTTCCCAGGCACATTGTCAGGGAGCTGGATCCGAAGTGCAGCAGCAGAGAATCCAACTGGCGCCCACATGGGACACTAGCACCAGAGGCAGTGGCCCAACTCAGTAAGTTACAGCGTTGGCCCCAGGAAAACACTTTGAAAACAGTATATACATAGAAGGGGCTGTTTTTAAGGAAGGCTGAGCACCGAACACTGTGCACTTGGTCCTGTGCTAAGGCTGGAAATGGAAGTGACTGAGAGGACCCCGTTCTAAGCTGGTGCTCTTCTACAGCACTAGCTACCTTTTATTGGGTACCTACTGTGACCCGAGACGTTCCATCAGCTCTCTGGAATGACAGCGACCGCTCACAGGCCTCTCGAGAGAATCAGAGGACAAGCACATCAAGCACTAAGACAGTGCCTGGCACATATGCAGGACACCGTGTCACTTCATTTAATCTTCACAGCAATTATTTCACTGAGGAGGAAGCAGGTGAAGAGGAAGTGAAGTCGCTTGTCCAAGTCTCAGGCTGTCAGCTCCAGCGCTAACATCCTTCAGTAACTGAGGCAGAATTCCAAGAGTCAAGCCTGCCCGGGGCGCATTATGTAACCCCATTTTACAGGCAGGAGTGGGATCAAGCAACTACAGCAAGTATCACAGAACTAAGTGGTCACCCAGTGAGAGTAACCGTAATTGCTAAGACCAGATCTGATACCTGAGCCCACTGCTTGCGGCCTGCAAGGCAGACAGCCCGCACGGCCCGGGCAAGCTCTAAGCAAGGACTCTTTATTCTTCATTCTTTATCTCCAACTTTGCCCGAAAGGATGTAGACACAGTGGCTACTTAGTCGATGGATACTTATTTTGGTGTAATGACATTTAAGTTGGGGCTTTGTTCAGAATTTCTAATTACAAGAGCAATGCAAGCTCAATACAGTATATTTGTGGAGGAAGGCAGATAAAATATTAAAGTCCTGTCATCTCAGTACCCAAGGAGAAATACCACTGATACTTGGGTACGTGTCTGCTCAGTATTTTTATGTGAGTCAGAAGATTTTCATGAAGAGTTCTGGATAATCATGAAGTCCTAAAGGCATCAGAAATGGGCTGTGAGCGGGGTTGTCATGCTTAGGAAAGCAAATCCCACTCCTCACACGGCACCTCACAGGAGCGGCAGGCTTCAGACACACAAGTGGCCTTGCTTAGTGCCTCCCTGGCCTAGGGGTCCTAACCTTCACTCTTCCCCAGGGTGACAGGGCGGTGTCACACTTTGCTGGGACAGTGCCTGGGCAGTCCTAGGGCTGAAAAGGAGGGGAGCAACGAAGGCCATGCCATCCTCCAATGGGCAGATCACGGTGTCTGAGGAAGAGATAAAACCAACCTGGAAAAGTGAACTTAGCTGACTTTGCCATGCAGCTCCACCTTACAGTGATTCCCTGCTCCGGTCTCACAGAGAGGGAAGCTGAGGCTCCATGGGGAGAAGACTTTCTCACAGAGTAGGTGGCCAGAGGTCAGGCAGAACGTGAAGCCGGGACACTGCCTTAGTCCAGATCCTCAGTGTGGAACCAGAAAGATACGGGGTCAAATCTCAGTTCTCACTTCAGGCTCTTGACTTTCAACAAAGCATTTAACCCGAGAATCTGCTTGTTCTTCTGTAACACAAGATTGAACGTCGTCCTCATTAGGCTTAAATGAGGACTTAATGAGGGAAAAAAACTTTCCCAACAATCACTGAGTGCCAGGTGCCAGGCACTACACAATGAACTTCACATACATTATCTCATTTAATCCTCACAATTACCCTACTGGGGGTTACTATTTTGAGATCCATTTTACAGGTAAGGAAATTGAGGGTCAAAGAGTGTAAGTCATTTATCCGACATCACACAGCTGTAAGGGGCTGGGATTTGAAAGGTCTGTCAGTCTCAGAGCAATACGACTACATTACATAGGTAACTCTTCAGCAGTGTTTGCAAAATATAAACACAAAACACATAACAGCCATCATTACCTACTGCTGTTAGTGTGGATTTAATTATTACGTTACATGTGATTGGCTGCTCTCTATTTTTAATCTCCTCAACAGAGAAAGCAAGAACAGGGCTGTCCAAGAAGGGGAGAAGCACAGCCTCGCCTAGCCCTGGGCCATGCCGCTGCACACCGCCAGGGGAGGGCAGGAGCAAGGCGTGGGGAGCAGCATTTAAGACCTTGGCTTCCCCGAGTTGCTGGGGCAGAGGCGGGGAACAGCAGTGCCTCTGAACTGGGAGGTATGGGGGACTTCAGAAAGCACGGAAGATCTGTTTTATGCAAACACACACACACACACACACACACACACAAAGGCATGGATTTCAAAACTCTGGGGCATCAAAATAAACCTCTCTCTTAATTCCATTTTCCACGTACTTTTTGAAGCCCCCATGTTTAACTCCTATTGGAGGGGTCTGTGTTCTTACAACTGGCTCACGGCGTCTGCCCACCTGCGGCAGGCTACCGGCCCCTGCATCCCATCAGGGCATCTTCTGTGTGGAGACACAGAAGCCTCTGCCCTACGATTTGGGCCTCTGCTAATCTCTCTGAAGATGGGTGCGGGTGATTAAGGAGGCAGCACCCAGAGATAGAGGGAGAGGACCCATTGAAAAGAGCCCAGCGAGCACGGACACGCCAGCTGGGATCCCAGCCTCCCCGAGCGCACAGCATGAGTCACCCCGCAGCCCTTCACCCTCGCATTGCAACACGGCTGACAGAAACTGCAGCCTTCCGTGAGGTGGGCAGGCAGCACCTACAGAGAAGCGCGCCATCCTTCCGACTCCAGCAAGCTCTGCAAGTGGCAGCGAACGGCCACCAGGACCTCCGAGGAGTGGCTGGCGCCAGGCCCTGCTCTCGTGTTAGATGTCAGCCCCAGCTCCCTTCCAACGCCTGGCTCCGCAGCCTGAGCATTTTCATCACCTCGTACCTCAGTTTCCTCATCTGTAAAATTGGGATAACCCATCACCTATCTCATAGGGTTGTTGGCAGGATTAAAGACAAGAATGCATGTAAAAGCTTCACGCAATGCCTGACACGTACGCACGCCCAGCACTGAGGGCTGCCAGACACTTAGTAGGCACTGCCGATTCAACGGTGAACAAGGCCGACAGTAAATCAGTAATTAGGAAAATGTTAAAAATCAAAAGGCCTCTGCAGAGATCACGAATCAAGCGGTCTGAGTGGCCGTGTCCACTTCAGCCGCGGGGAAGGACTGCTCTGAGCAGCTGGCCTTATTCGCAATTATTATTTGCTGTATTTCTGAAAGGAGATGTCAGTCTCAGAGTGGCCCTCAGCAGAGCCTCCAGTGAGAAAGCACGTCTAACAGTTCTCAGACCCAACGCCCCTTCTCCACAGGCCCACCCTTACCCTGCGAGGGCTACTCTGAATTCTGACTTTACCCCCTGGAAACCTCACTCGCCATTCCCTGAGAAAAGAGTGGGCCCACAATGAGATTCCCAGGAAGACAAGGCAGAGAGATAATTTGCTGGGGCGGGGGAGGGGGGTGAACAGAGAGGGAAAATGGAAAGCAAGATCTTTGGCTTAGATTTAATTTCAAATTAATCCTGGAAGGAGCTCTTTAAAAACCTCCCATTTCCCTGTTTGTGCGTGTGGATACTCTGGGTTTATCTACTTAGTTCTTTACAGAAAACGGCCCCCAGCAGTTATTCCACAATTATTTTGACTAACGGCATCTGCTTTCTCCCAAGATCCCAATGCAGAACGAAGCACTCAGAGTTTTAAGAAACAGCTGAGGCTTCAGAGGAAGCTCACTTCAACTTTTCCATCCTTGCCACGCTGGCCAGAGGTATGTGGTCTGCCCACATCCCGTTCAGATCCGTACACCAAATAAAAGGCTGCCCCCACCTCATTTCCCACCCCGTCACCAATGCTCACAGCCCCAGATTGTCAACTCCATAGCAGTAACCCTGGGGGTTTTTTGGTCTATTTCCCCAGAACCCAGAATAAGGCTTGGCACACAACAGGTGTTCAGTGATGGTGCTGGCTTTGCAGTTAAGCCGCTGCCTGCAATAACAGCATGCCATCGAGTGCCAGTTCGAGTCCTGGCTGTTCCACTTCAGATCCAGCTCCTTGCTAATGCACCTGGAAGCCAGTGAAAGATGGCCTAAGTCCTTGAGCCCCTCCCTGCCACCCACATGGGAGACCTGGATGGAGTTCCAGGCTCCCAGCTGGAACAGCCCAGCCCCTGTTGCTGTGGCCATCTGGGGAGTGAACCAGCAGACGGAAGCTCTCTCACTCTCTCCCTCTCTCCACCACACTCTGTAACCCTGACTTTCAAATAAATAAAGGCCACTGGCTTCAGCTCAAGAGGCAGCCAGCCTTGAAGACCGGCATCGGCATTGGCATCGGGCTTCCAACTCCCAGCAGCCTGGGCCCTTGGGCAAGTCACTTTCTTCTCTAGCCTCTATTTACTCCTGCTCCTGAAAATTGTGTATGCTGGGGAGAAAAGGGGTTGTGGTGATAATAAATCCACCACAGTGAAATTATTTGAAAAACTGTACAAGATTATCCATAAATAATCACTCCCATGAGAGGAGAGCTCTAAAAGAAAAGGAACCATGGGAACCCACCTAGGGACCTGCTCTCTCCCTGGAGAATCCCCCAGCTGTAAAGAAGGGGACAGAGGAGTCGGGGTGTTCTAGAAGCACGAGTTGAGATTTCCTTTAAGCCAAGTATCTGTTTGTCTCTGTATTTTTCCTCTAGTTACCTTGCTTCTCTCCAACATTTTTTTTCTTTCTCCCTCCTCCCTCATCTCCACCCCCCACCCCCTCACCAAGGAAGGAATTGGCTGGCTCCACCCAGCCGGCCCCCCGTGACTCCGCCCCTACTCGGCGGGCCAAGAGTTAACAGCTGCACCTGTTGAGGTATCCTTGCAGTCGCCGGCACCTGTACTTACAGCCAATCAGCGCCAGGGCTGCTCGGAACCTACCTGTCAGCAAAATCCCGACATCCAAACCTCAACATAAATCAAACACTTCCCAGTGCAGGGAATGTCCGCGGGAGGCCGGAATTAGAGACAAGCAGTGAGCAGAGCCTCGGCGGCGAGGAGTCGCGGGAGCCCGGGAGCAGGAAGATGTCGAATGAACTTGAGTGAGTAAACACCCGTGGACACCTGCGCTCTGAGCTGGGAGGCTGCATGGGGTTTCCAGGAGGGGAGAGCAGGGAGGCTGGCGCCAGGACTCACAGGGCAATTTGTACGGGTAAATGAATGGGCTGCCGGTCCTGCTCCGGCGTGTCGAGGCAAGCCCCTGTCTCAGGCGAGAGCGGAGCGTTTCCCTGGGAAAATAGTTTTTCTCTCTCTGCTGAGCAGTTTCGAGCCAGGCAGGGAAACACAGCACTGAAACTGTGAAGGCTCTTGGCACCGCTCTTTGATACTCTGAAGGGGCCTTGGAAATCAGAGACGATCCCAGCCCCGTGGAGGCCTGCTATCTTCTTGCCAAAAGGAACTTCTCTGAGGTGGTTCTAAGATTGTCCTAGGCAGAGGGCTGGCTTTTTCTGGAGGACTTGTTTGTTGGGCTGGACCACTCCCAAGTGGGAAGGTTGCAGTGTGGTGGCTAAACATGTGCGCTCTCAGTAGTGGACCTGACCTGGGTTCAAATCCAGGCCCTCCTTCAAGCTGTGTGATCTCATGCACCTTATCTGATCTTCATTGTCCTCATCTGGAAAATGGGTACAAGAACACTGTAGACTTCTTGAGAGAGTCCAGCATGATACAGGCTGTAAAAGGGCTTACCACAGAGCCAAGGATTGAAGATGCGTTCAATAAAGTGTGTGTGATTTTATTCAGAGGCAGTTCTAAGGGGGGGGGGGGCGGCTGAGAAGTGGTTTTCAGTGAGGTCACCTCTGTTGCCCAGCAGGAGACAGGTGCCTTCCTGCCCACATCTGAGATTTAAAATCCCAACTGGCTGCTGCAGACCTTCAGCATGGAGAAGGGGGGCTGGGATGGGCCGTGGGCCGCTTTCGCTTGGATTCAGGAAGCTGGCAGCAGCCAGAGCTCTTAAATACAGACTCTTCTTCCTGTCGCCCTCAGAGGCAGTGGGCAGAGGCAAGGGCTGACCAATCTTTTCTACAGCCACTCACGGACAGATGGAGAACCTGGAGACCCGTGGGCAGAGCGGCTAGTGGGTCCCTGGCTGTAGCCGGGCTCCCTGGAGACTCGCCGGCTCCTGGGTTCTTGAGTCGGCCAGCTGTGGCCACACTGCAGTCACTGGGGTTGAGACATCAGCCTTCTCTTGAATGAATTCTGGAGGCTGACAGTGCATTGACAGCCGGGCCACAGCTGGCAGGAGGCTCACTGGCGCCACACCGGGTGCTGCTGGGCAGGTTTGAGTCCCAGGCTGCTTCTCACGCGCACAGACCCCTCACCCGGGCCTCAGCTTTCTCACTTGTACACTGCGACCAGCAGTGGTGCCCAGCTCACGGTGCTGCCAGGGGATTCAACAGCTTTCAAACAGTGGCTGCTTTACAGCCTGGAGGAGACAAGCCAGTGACCGCTGCTGCTTCGTCCGGAAGCCACCGCTCAGGCCAGCAGCACTTGCTTGTTCTCTTTCACGCACTGCACACGCGTAAACGATCCTGAGCTGTGTGTCCGCCTCGCTTGGCTCTGAGAAAGCTCCAGTCTCCTCACTGTTGCTCCGCAGGGGATGTGTCCCGCAGCCAGGCCACTGGCCCAGAAGGCTTTGCTGCTGCTCTCTTCCGTAAGGATCGGGTCTGAAGTCGGACCCCAGGGCAGCTGAGGCTGATCAGGCTGTGGCATTTGGGGTGGGGTGGGGAAGCTTGCAAACTCTGCAGCTACCCCGGGAGGGGACAATGGCAGAGCCTGGGGGCGCAGCGCCCCTTTCTCAGAATAGGGCAGGTGGCCATCCAGGGCGCCCCCTTGGTCCTGAGCGAACGAGCGGCCTTTGTCAGGTCTTGGTGCAGCGGGAAGAGTCGGGCTTGGATGCCACTTACCAACGGCGGGATCCTCCGCCGGGAACGAGGCCTCTAAGTTCCTACCCGGCAGGGGACGCTCTGAGGTCCCTGCCCCGTGGACACCCCCGGGGGGCCGGCAGAGGCGCTCCCTGGACACCAGCCTGAGGACGAGGCCTCGGGAGGCAGCGCTTTGAAGGCCAGGACTGGAGCCGTCAGAAACCAGCTTGAGGCAGCTGGTGGGTGGCCAGCGCCCGGGCCTTTCATGTGGTCGGCCCAACGCCGCCACCCCCCAGGCCTCACAAGCCGCACAGGGCGCCTCAGAGCCAGAGCCCACAGCCTCAGGCCAGGCCAGCCGCAAGGGCTCCTGGGGCGGCTCCTCGGGGTCTCGCGAGAAAACACCCGCGAGGCGTGCGGCCTGCGGCGCCTGCGCACTGCCTGCTGCTGGGGGGTCTTCCTGGGAGCTGGCGCCCCGGGCAGAGCGGGTCTAGGTCTCAGGGGCTGCTGGGTGTCTCTAGACCAGGGTCTGGGGGGTGACCCCCTGGCGCTTTTCGGAGTGCCCCCAGGACCTTCCGTGTGCCTAGCCCAGGAAGCAAGTTAGCCCACTGTGAAGGGGCTTGTCCCGTAGTAGGTCCAGCGAGAGGCGGCGGCCCAGCGGGATCCTTCCCACGGCCTCACTGTGCACGGCGCGCCCGCAGCCCGGGTCCCCACCTGCTGCCGTCTGGAATCTTCTCCCCCACCCCACTTCCCCAGCCCCGAAGAGCCGCGGGTGGGGGTGGGCGGTGGCTGGGGAGGGGCGGGGACCATCCCTGTGACCCAGGCGGGCTGGCTATCTGATCTGATCTGGGGAGAGCCGGGCTCCAGACTGCCTGGAGCGCCGAAGGAGTTAACCAGGAACGCCTCCCCGCTGTGGTTTTGTGGTCGAAACCATGATTGCCAGGAGCAAATTTTTGTCGTGCACAAGGTGTGTTATTAAAAGTCGGAGTTACGCTGCTGGTGAATGAAAAGTTAAAAGCCCTCATTAAGCTCGGGCTGTAAAACAGCCAGCCTGGGCCTAGAGAGGATGAGAGACAACGGCACCAGGCTCCAGCCTCCCTGCAGGTGCCCGAGCCCCAGGCAGGCTCTGGCTCATCAGGCTCAGCGGTGTGGCCCTGTGGCCAGAGCCAGGTGGGTCGGAGCAGCAGGAGGGAGCGAGGGCTCAGGGCTGAAACAGCGATGTCGTTCGGCACTTACCGAGACGCTGTCCAGTGGTTGGTCAAGACATCCCAGCATCCCGGCGTGGGAGGGGGACGGGAGCGTGAAGGGAGTGAGGCCTGGCTCAGATCTCGCAGAAGACCTGGGGGCTCCTGGGGGCACAGCAATGAGCCGCAGGTTGCTTCCTGGGTGCTTAGAGGCTGAAAGCGGAAGTGATGGCGAACTGTTAGCCGCGATCGCCTGTGAGCGATGATGCGGCTTCATCCTATTCTCCTTCCTGTTGGGGGCGGCTTCGCATTTATTTATACACTTGTAGTATTTTACAAAACTGTGTTACTTTCAAAGTGGGGAGAGGGGTGGAGAGTCTTATTTTTAAAAGAATTACTGGTTGGACTAGACCCATGTTCTCAAAGTGTGGTCCTGGGACCAGCATCCTCCTCCTCCTCACCACTACCCCTACCCCCTGCCTGCATCAGGTGGCGTGGGCAGGGTGGGGGCAGCGGGATGCGTTTCCACCAGCTCTCCAGGAGATTCTGATGGGGGTTCAAGTTTAAGAGCCATTGGCCTGGGAGACCCGGCGGAGGGCTGGGAGGCTGGAGGCTCCCAGATCCCAGATCCCGGATCCCAGATCCACTGTGGAGCTGCCTGTGGCTGCTGAGTCAGCGGCCGGGAGCCCTGCTCCAGGGTCACAGCTGTGTTTAAAGCCCAGCTCTGCCACCGGTGAATTGGGTGAGTCTGTGTCAGTCCCTGCTTATGGAGAAGAGTGACAAAAGCACCCAGCTCACGGGGCCCGTGTGAGAGTGCCCAGGCCCAGGGCCGGGCTGCGGGAACTGATTTCTTCCCTTTCCCTTCTCTCGTCGTCCCTCTCAGCCCCTCTCTGGAGCACACAGCTTTCCGTCTGTACAATGCAGCGAGCCGCCCCGCCTCGCCGCCTCCCTCTCCCAAAGAGGTGAGAGCGCCTGGAAGTCTGAAGGGAGATCTTGGTGGTACTGGGTGTTTCTTTGGGCTCCAACACCGGGGGACGCACCCTTGCGTCCCCACCCTTGCGTCCCCAGCGCTCAGCGCACAGCCTGTTCAGGGTAGCCCTCAGTGAAGGCCTGTGGAATGAATCACTAAGTGAATGAATGAAGGGATGTGTCTGGATGTGGATTTCACTTCTCTCCCAGCTCAGGTGTACAATAGAGGGGGGAGGGGAACCCAGAAAATTGGACAAGAAAGAGAGAAGGAAAATACAGCATGAAAGAAAAATTCGCATCCAGGGGAGAACCTTTCTGAGGGGAGAGGGCGAGTTTCTGCTGTAATTGAAACGGCACGTCATTAATTCCCTTGCAAGGGAAGCGCTGTGCCCGCGCCCGGCCGCCCTCCGCTTGCCCACCACGATGGAGCGGGCCGTGTGCTTGCGCTGCTTAGCTGGGCCTCTCCGGGCTGCTCTGCAGGAGATGTCCCATTTTACAGGTGGGAGAAACTGAGTCTATGAATCGGGCAGCGGCTGGGGTTTAGCCCCCAGCGTGAGTCTTACTAGCTATAAAGATGGTTCACGTTATGACGGGCTGGCACTGTGCCAACCACTTTGCCACCTGCGTTTTCTCATTGCATTCTTCCAACAATAAACTTCCCAAAGTTGTTGTAAAGATTAAATAAGAAGCTGCTTAGCCAGGACCCGGCACTTGGTAATCTCTCGGTGAAGAGGAGCCATCGTGGTGATCCCGTGAGGTTAGTACTCTCGTCTTCCCACAGTTTACAGTTATGAAAAACAAAACCCAAGGCAGGAGATGTCAGATTGCAGAGCTGGAGCTGGAGGCCAGCTGCACAGCTCTGGGCCCCAGCCCGTACCCAGGGGTTCATGTGGCCCCATTCAAATCAAAGTCACTACTGAGCACCACCCTGGCCTCCCCCATTTCCCCCATATAGGCCCCCTGATGAGCCCCTTGCCCTGGGGACAAAGCACGTTTCACAACCTGATGGGCCACTGCAGGTGCAGGAACCTG